AAAAAAAAAAACTTCAAGTGAGGCAAAAATGGCCTCAGGGCTTAAAGGGTTAGCATTCTCAGTGTAGAAGTGCAGTAAATGCCTCCTCTCAGTCTTGTTGCTTTACATTAGATTTCGTAAAGTGATTTAATCGAACTCATCTCCTGAAGTGTTTGGGATTGCGCAAATGTCAGAATAAAGTGGAGGGCTTTGTGTTTCCATCTCCAGTCCAGTTACTGTGTGATGGTAGGAATCTAGAGGTGAAGTGAATAAAGTGTCACATCCAGACTACAGCATGTGTAAGAGTGTAACTGCTGTATTGTTTTGCTAGGGGCAAAACATGTGCTACATGTCAGTTCACTTTTTCAGTAGCGTGTTACCCTTAACGATAATGTGTAGTTGTGTCATTTTCATGTGTTTCTATGCTGCATGTTGTTCTAACAGGTATTTCTACTTCCTCTTTCTCTTGTAGTTCTCTCCATTAGTCAAGGGCTCCAAAAGGTATATGGTGTCCACAGGAACTGATGCAACAGTGTGTTTCTGGCAGTGGGATGTTAATAATAACAGTTTCAGGTGAGGGCTCTTCATCGCGTTAGAATGAAAAGATGGGACTAGTGTGTGTCAAAGATTGAGGTTCATTGTTTGTTTCCATCAGCGATCGTCCACACAAATTCACAGAGAGGCCGAGGCCTGGCGTTCAGACTGTCTGCTCTTCCTTCAGCCCTGGTGAGAGGACTGAACGTTTGAACTAGCTTTTTTCCCCCCCTTTGACACGTGTATGTTTATGTAAGGCACACATTTCTTTCTCTTTATACAGGTGGCGTGTTCCTTGCAACAGGAAGCACAGATGACGTCATCAGGATATACTACCTGGGCAGTGGCAGTCCAGAAAAACTAGCTGAGCTTGACTCTCACAAAGTAAGCAACCAATCAACCAAATTGTGAGAGAATATCTCATGGTGTGCCATGATTTACAATATGTGGTTTTAATTTGTAGGACAAGGTGGACAGCATCCAGTTCTGTCATTCAGGAGAGAGGTAATATTACTGGTTTACCACAAACCAATCATTTTTTAGAGCTGCACCGAGAATTTGGCATCCAAATTTATTCGGCCAAAACAGTTTTATAGGTCCAGAATCACTGACCAAAACAGGAACATTTAATTAGCGCTTCTCTGATGCCATGTTTGAACTGTGAGTGTTTGTTTTTCTTTTCATGCACACGAGGATAAGCTACAATAGGTGAACGTGTCAGCTGTGTGTCTGCTAGGGATGGGTTGATAATATCGATTTCTTATCTTTTAGACTATGCTGTTTTCAGTTCATTCAATCAGTGTTTCAACTGCAGAAAGATGTCAATAAAAGTTTGTAAACAATGTAATTTAATGTTACGTTTACTACAGTTAGCCAGAAAAAATGAACTCTAGAGATCACAGGCCAGTTAATGTTTATAAACGAATTAGAATTGGAATATTTTATGTAAAACTGCATTGTGCAATTAAAATGTTTAAATGCAACTCAGTTTTTGAGTTTTGATTATTAAATAAATGATTAATTAATTATTAAATCAACTAAAAATCTTCCCTTTTACACTAAATGAGAACTTGACTTTTGATTTGGGTCAATTCGATTTGGTGCATCGCTATTTTACTTCAGTTCTTTATTTTATTTTTATCCCAGAATCATTCTTTTAATGTCTCTCTCTTAGATTTGTGAGTGGCAGTCGAGACGGCACTGCTCGTATATGGCAACTGCATCAGAGACATCAATGGAAGAGCATTTTATTGGACATGGCTGCCACCCTTCCAGGGTATGAAAACCTTCTGGGAAAACTCAAACAGATGCTGCATTGACTTTGACTTGATCTCTTAACGAAATTGCCCCTCCTTTGTTTACTGTAGGTCTGCACCTTTAACAGAGGATGAAAATGTCTTCAAACCCAAAGTCACCATGGTTTCCTGGGATCGCCACGATAATGCAGTCATCACTGCGGTCAACAATCATCTGCTCAAAGTGTGGAATTCCTATACTGGACAGTTGCTGCATATCCTTAAAGTAAGACAGCTTCCACTGCTCAGATTCTCAGATTTAGTTGAAGGAAGAGTTCACACAAAAATGAACTCTGTCATTTATGAATGTTGCTCCAGAAGTTCTTCAGGTGGAATTCAAAATATTTCACCTGGCCAAACCAAATAGAACCTGTTCATCGAAATCCTAAGCAACATCATTAATATTAACAAATTAAATGAGCAAAACCAAAAGAGCCAAACAGATAGTAGCTTGCCATTTTGAGGAAGTTCTTGTTGGTTTTTGTGCAATATGTATACTTTCAGTGAACAGTCTGATACTGCACTGCCATGTGCTTAGACCAGAGGTTAAAACCTATACAATGTTATGCTATATGGCGATTAATGCATTTCTCTTCACCTCACAGGGTCATGAGGCCGAGGTGTTTGTTTTGGAGCCGCATCCCTATGACCCTCGCATCATGCTGTCTGCAGGCCACGATGGGAATGTCTTCATATGGGACCTCATCAGAGGCACCAAAACCATGCATTACTTTAATATGGTGGAGTATCCCAATGATCTTTCAGTTTTATTTGCAGAACTTAAACATCCACAACTTTATTACTGACATGCCAAAAAAAATCTCTTGTGTAAAAGATTGAAGGTCAAGGACATGGTGCTGTATTTGACTGTAAGTTCACCACAGATGGGCATCGCTTTGCAATGACAGACTCTCATGGACATCTGGTTATTTTTGGCTTTGGGAGCTCCAAGCCCTATGAGAAGGTTTGTATGATTTCTAACTGAGAAATCTGAAGATGATCATTTCACCTCTTTTTATATATCTGTATTGAACCAAGACATCTTGTATAAACAATTTACAAGTTTCTATATATATAATTTCTTCATCTATTAATTTCTTTCTCCAAATGAATCCATAGCTTCCAGACCAGGTGTTTTTCCACACTGACTATCGGCCGCTGATCCGGGACTCAAATGGGTTTGTTCTGGATGAGCAGACCCAGCAGGCCCCACACCTGATGCCTCCTCCCTTCCTGGTGGACGTTGATGGTAACCCTCACCCTCCCAGATTCCAAAGACTGGTCCCAGGA